GAGATGAGAACACACATAAGGGTAATCGTCGAAGGCACCACAGCATCTGTAGGTTCCTGCCTGAGTGGAGGTAACACGGCCCAAGTGGAAGACAGCCTGATGTTTGTTGTTCTTGTGTGCGGAGCTTTTTCTCTGGATGGTGGGAAGTCCATCTTTCATGAGAATAAATGCCTGAAACTTATCTTTTGAGAAACACAGTAATGTCACATTGTTTCCCGAAGCCACCGCGGTGCCACTCAAGCTCGAGAGTGAGGGTTTTTCATAAGCCCCTGGAAAGAAAGAAGTTTGGTGATAAAGAGGAGGTCACATCCACCCACTGTCCCTTTCTGTTCCCCAAGAGTAGGCAGGGCTCTGGTTTCTGTTCCCTCCATGTCCCGCTCTGAGGGACCCTGTCTCTGCATCATCCCTGACTCCTCCCTAGAGAGAGAGAGAGACTTTGCTGCTTCCTGCTTGTATCTCGGAGCCTGGTTCTCCCCTCTGCAAAGAGATCTCTCCTGGCTCTGTTGCCTGGGTCTCACTCACCAGTCATCACCAGATACAGAGGTTCACTGACCAGGGACCAGTTCCTTCCACTCCTGTAAGAACAGCGGTACAATCCCGATAGGTCTGGTTTTATCTCTGAGATATTTACAGTGTTGCTCTTCCCTGTCACCAATGACTTTGTTCTGTCTCTAAGCTCAGGTCCTTTCATTTTATATATTTCATATGCTTCGGCTTCTGGAGGCCCATCGCACAGGATGGTCACTGGTTTCTTAGACAGAACCATGGATCCAGGCAGACCTTTGATAACAGGTGGAGGAAGATACCCTAGAAGAAGAGGTGATACATTTACAGGTGTATTTGTTTCTCAAACCATTCTCTACACCTTCCTCCCTTACAGCCATGAGGTTAAATGCCGAGACCACTCCTCCCAGATCCCAAGAGAGCTGATATCTGGCCAAACCCTACTCAGTTCTTGAAATATTAAAAGAATACTCACCCTCCTGCACCTGAGTGCTCTGACTTAGATACAACCCTGGAAGGAAACATTGGGTGAGAACAACTCATTTTTTTTTCAATTAAAATTCACATTCAACATTATTTCGTATGCATTTCAGTGGTTAGACAATCATATACTTTATGAAGTGTTTCCCCTTGCTATTTCCAGTACCCACCTGGCACCATACATAATTGCTACAGTATTGACTCTATTCCCTATGCTGTACTTTATATCCCTGTGACTATTCTGTCGCTACCAATCTATACTTCTCAATCCCTTCACACTTTTCACCCAGGTCCCAAACCCCCTCTTCTCTGGAAACCATCAATCTGTTCTCTGTGTCTGTGAGTCTGTTTCTGTTGTGTCTGTTCATTTATAATGGAGAACAGTCCAGTGACATAGAACCACCAGCCTATTCCCTGCAGTGTTGTGTTAGCACCCTGACCCTTCTGCCCAGACTCACCAAGACAGAGCAGAGTGTGAAGAACCACAGCCATGATCCTCAGTCTAGCTGGCCTGCTGGCTTCAGGGATGCTGCTTTTATGAGAAACAGACTTCTCTAAAAGTCAACACAGCAACAGGAAGTGGTGGGAATTGTGATGGCCTCAGTTCTCACTCCTAGAGTGAAGGCATTTTACAACCTCTTCTGGGTTAGTCTTGCAGATGCAACTGAAATTATGAAGATATTACTCATCTGAACCTTCAATCTCTATCAGTCCAGCTGGGTCCGTATATTCTGTCCCCATTCCCTCATGACCATTTAATTTTTTTGTATAAAGTGAGCAGCAGCAGGAAGTTCACAAGTAAAGAACAGGACAGAAGCAGTTCCCAGTCTGAGGTCTGTTCTGAACTACTCTGTGAGCCCATGGCTCCTGCATCTAAAGTTGGAACTTCTGAGAGAAAAATGGTGGTGGAGTGAATGGAAGTCACGCAGACCATCTCCGAAGACCAAATTGGAATTACAACCAAAATAAAGACAAGTCATCAGGAAAAACCAACCAAAGAGCAGCTGGAGAGAACCCTGAATAAAGAAGACCTCAAATCAAGACTGGTAGGAGCTGCGGAGGTTGAGAGACCTTGCTGGGTGCCCATGGGCAACAGCTGAAGACTGTCTTAGCTGTGAGCAGTTCCCTCTGAGAAACCGGAGGTTAAAACCCCAGGCTGGCTCCCCAGCACAGAGTGGTGGAACAGGAAAAGGTGCCCACATAACAGCTGGCCAAGAAAATCATCAGAGCAGAGGTTTTGTCCAGCAGGGAGAGACATGGGAAACACTGGCATTTACCTGAAGGGCCAGTGCACTAAATTACAGCTACATCCACTCGCCAGCAGAGGGAGGGCGGGCTGGACTGGAACCGTGTGAGGAGCTCATGGCACTGGGGAGAGACCTGTAGGGAAGCCATCAGGAGTTCTATGCTGAGTCACTTTCCCCACAGGACAGGAGCCATTTTCCTCAAGGAGCCCCTTCCCAGAGTGGCCATAGCCTGGGGAGAAGCAACTTTCCCTCCCTTGGAATGTAACACCACCTGGCCGGAGAAGTGCAACCTGAGGCTCACAAATAGCCAGAGACGACCTGCCAGCCAGTAGGCAGAGAAAAGGGTCGGAAAGCTTTCAGCTTTGGACCTGGTTCTCAGTGTTGGGGTCATGGTTCTGGGAGTGAGCTGTGAAGCCTGAGGCCTGGATCCCTGCACTGAACCAATAACCCACACTACAGAAACCACTTTCTTCTCAAAACAATTTTAGCCCAGGAAAAGCAATGGCCCCATGTGCTGGGAATCCTCTTACCCTACCCACCTGAGGGATTTTTTCATTAGGCTGAGGGCTGCAACCTGAGGCTCATCAAGTAACTAAGACAAACAGTAAGCCTGCAGGCAAAAACTCTGGGAAAATTTAAAATTTCTTGGCCTGTGACTCTACCCAGGAAAGAAAGAGTAGACATTGGTGTTTAACATGGTCCCTTCCATACTCAGCCAAACCCAGTAGAGGGAGCCACAATTAGCAGAACACTGACACCCACAGGGAAAATTTGGTAGGCTCCAAAACCCACTGAGACAGCCAAAATGGTGAAACAAAGAAACAACTCTCAAATGAAAAAACAAGAGAATTCTACAGAAGAAGGGATAAATGAAATGGAATTAAACAAGTTATCAGAGGTAGATTCCAGAGTAATGATTATGAGGAAGCTCAACAGCATGAGTAAAGATATAGAAACAATAAAAATCAACCAATTGGAAATGAAAGATCACCAAGCAGAAATGAAGAATGACATAGCAGAAATAAAGAACACATTTGGAAGAAATAACCAGCATATTAGAGGAAGCTGAGGATCAGATAAGTAAATTAAAAGACAGAGTAGATAAAAATCACTCAATCAGAGAACCAAAATGAAAAAAACAATTACCAAACAAGAGGACAGTTTAAGATAGCTGTGGGACAACATGAAATATAATAACATACACATCATAGGAGTTCCAGAAGAAGAAGAAAATGACAAGGGTTAGAGAATATATTTGAAGAAATAGTGACAGAAAACTTTCCTAACTTGTTGAAGGAAAAGGGCATACAAGTTCAGGAAGTGAAGAGAGCTCCAAGTAAGAAGAACTCAAGGAGGCCCACACCAAGACACATCATAATTGAAATGCTAAAAATGAAAGATGAGAGAATCTTAAAGGTATCAAGAAAAAAGCAACAGGTTACCTACAAAGGAACCCCCATAAGGCTATCAGCTGATTTTGCAACAGAAACTACAGGCCAGAAAGGAACGGCATGCAGTATTCAAGGCAATACAAAACAAAGATCTGAATCCAAGACTACTTTATCTATCAAGGCTATCATTCAAAATAGAAGGTGAAACAAAGAGCTTCTCAGGAAAAAAAAAAAGATAAGGGAATACATTAAACCTAACTAGCACTGCAGGAAATGTTAAAAGGACTGCTATAATAGGCAGAAGAAATATAGAGAGAAACATAGCCATAATAAATAAAAGTGGCAATAAATAAGTACATATCAATAATAACCTTAAATGTAAATGGATTAAATATTCCAACGAAAAGACACAAAGTAGCTGAATGGATAAGAAAGCATGACTCATATATATGTTGTATGGAAAAATTTTTTCCAAGCAAATGGAAAGGAAAAAAAAGCTGGGGTAGCAACACTCATATCTGATAAAATGCAATTCAAAATAAAGACCACGACTGGAGACAGAGAAGGCCACTACATAATATTGAAAGGATCTATCCAACAGGAGGATATAACCTTTGTAAACATATATGCATCCAATATAGAAGCACCAAAATATACTAAAAACTTCTGGAAGACTACAAAGGAGAAGTTGACAGCAACACAATAATAGCAGGGCACTTCAACAACTCACTGACATCACTGGATAGATCCTCTAGAAAAAAAATTAACAATGCAACAGAGACTCTAAATGATGCACTAGATCAAATGGATTTAATAGATATTTACAGAGAATTACACACTAAAACATCAGAATTCACATTCTTCTCATAGACCATCTGTTAGGACACAAACTAAGTCTCTACAAGTTCAAGAAGATTGAAATCATATCAAGCATTCTCTCATATTACAGTGACATGAAACTAGAAATTAATTATAATAAGAACACTCAAACACATGCTGGCTAAATAGCATGTTATTAAACAATGAATGGGTTATCAAAGAGATCAAGGGAAAAATAAAAAACTTCCGACCTGGAGAGTATTATGCTAAGTGATACAAGCCAAGCAGAGAAAGACAAATATCACATGATCTCACTTATTTGTGGAATATAATGAACTAAACAAACTGCTGAACAAAATTAATCCAGAGACATAGAGGCGGGGTACAGACTGACAAGATTCAGAGGAGTGGGGTTTAGGGGGAAGAGATAAACCACAGAACTTACATGCATATATGCATGGCCAATGAACATAGACAACAGAGCTGGAGATGGGGTGGGGAGAAGGGGAGGAGGGTGTCAATGGGGGAAAAATGAGAAACATCTGTAACAAAAACAAATAAATAAAAAAAAAGTTCCTGGAAACCAATGAAAATGAACACACAACAACACAAAACCTATGGGATGCAGTGAAAGAAGTCCTGAGAGGGAAGTTCATAGCACTACAGGCCTACCTCAAGAAACAAGAAAAATGACTTATTGACTATCTAACCTCACAACTTAAAGAACTAGAATGTAAACAAAAAGAAAAACCCAGAACAAGTAGAAGGAAAGAAATAGAAAAGGTCAGAGTGGAAATAAATTATATAGAAACTAAAAAACATCAACAATAACAACAACAACAACTAATTCAAAAGATCAATGAAACAAAAGGCTGGTTCTTTGAAAAGATAAACAAGATTGATGAACCTCTAGTTAGACTACCAAGAAACAAAGAAAGAGGACCCAAATAAACAAAATCAGAAACAAAATAGGAGAAGTAACAACTGACACCACAGAAATACCAACAATCGTTAAAAAATACTATGAACAATTACACGCCAACAAATTGGACCATCTAGGCAAAATAGACAAATTTATAAAATCACAGTCTCCCAAAACTGAACCGGGAAGAGACAGAAAAGTTGAACAGACCAACGACTAAGGAGATTGAAGATGTAACCAATAAACTCCCAGCAAACAGAAGTCCAGGCCTGGGCAGCTTCACAGGAGAGTTTTACTGAACATTCAAAGAAGAACTAACACCCACTCTCCTCAAACTATACCAACAAATTCAAGAAGAAGGAGGACTTCCAAACTCTTTTTATAAGGCCAGCATAATTCTAATTCCATACCAGGTAAAGACACTACAAAGAAAGAAAACTGCAGGTCAACATTCCTGATGAACATAGATGCCAAAATCCTTAACAAAATAGTAGCAAATTGGATCCAGCAATACATTAAAAAAATTATTCACCATGACCAAGTGGGATTCATTCCAGGGATGCAAGGTACAATACTTGCAAATAAATGTAATACACCACATAAACAAAATGAAAGATAAAAATCATATGATCATATCAATAGATGCTTAAAAAGCATTTGACAAAATCTGGCTCCCATTTCTGATAAAATGCTCAGCAAAGTGGGAATAGAGGATAATATCTCAACTTAATAAAAGCTACTTATGAAAAACCTACAGCCAACATTATACTCAAGGGCAAAAACTAAAAGTCTTTCCCTTAAGAACAGAAACAAGACAGGGATGCCCACTTTTGCCAGTCTTTTTTTTTTTTAATCCTTACCCGAGGACATTTTTTGATATTTTGTTCAGATGGAGTGGGAGGGAGAGAGAGAGAGAGAAACATCGATGTGAAAGGGACACATCGAGTGGTTGCCACCCGCACGACCCAACCAGGGCCGGGGACAAACTGCAACCAAAGTACGTGCCCTTAGCGGGAACCGAACCCAGGTCTCTCTGGACCACAGGCCGATGCTCTAACCGCTGAGCCAAACTGGCCAGTCTTATTTAACATAGTGCTGGAAGTCTTAGCCACAGCAATTAGACAAGAAGAAAAAATAAAAGAGATTCAAATCCTAAAAGAGGAAGTGAAACTGTCATTATTTGCAGATGACATATTGTACATAGAAAACCCTAAAGACTCCATAAAAAATCTAC